GTGGGGCGGGGGGCTGTACCCCCCAGCCTCGGGGGGCTCTGTGCCCTGAGCGACGTCCATGGGGGTCCGTGCCCATCACCGAGGCTGTGTTTGTGCCAGGGGCAGGGGCAGCAGGCGTTTGCTCCCTGCCGCCATGTCTCAGCTGGCATGACAGGCTCTGTTTTTCCTGGTTAATTTTAGCATAATCTCCATTTTTAAAATTTATTATTATTTTTTTTTCCCCTCTGTAATCTCTCTTCCTCCTCTGTGGCTGTGCTGGCAAAGCCCTGCTGCTGCCTGCCTGGGGCCCCCCGTAAGGGCAGCCCCGTGGCTGAGGGCAGCAGCAGAGGGACCCCCGAGGGGTGGAAGAGGGCACAGGGACGGGCTTGGATCGGGGGGGATCCCCCAGGATTGGCACCTGGAGGCAGGGACCACGCTGGTTTCTGGCCAAAGGGGGTTCATCCTGCTTGGGGTTCCTGGGGGTGAGGCGAGCCAGGCACTCATCCATCTCAGTGACACTCCCTGCCCGGAGAGGGGACAAGGGACATGCGCCATCCCTTTCAGCTTCCCCTTTCAGCTTCCCCTTTTCTGCAGCCGGGGTGACTTTGCTCCTTCCCTGCTCCCAGCCCGGGGAGGGAGGGAGGGAGGGCTGGGCCAGGAGTTGCACGTTTCCTGGGGTTGGGGTGGCAGGGGGGTGACATCCCCTAGAGGGGACACGGTAGCAGAGGGGGAGCCTTAGGTGCCCTGGCTGTCCTCTCTGAACCCCTGGCATCCCGCGTTCAGATGCTGGAAAATAACCCCCCTCCTGAAGCCATTGGCTTTCCTGCTGGCAGCCACCTCCACGTGCTGGGGCACGGGACCCCGCGGGCTGGGAAGTGCGCGCTATTTAAAAAGCAACCCGGGGGTGGCTGATCCCGCTGGGATTCGCTCTGGCTGCCTGGCGGAGGCGGCAGCTTCTTCCCGAGTTCCCTGGGGGGTTCGGCTTCAGGTACCCACCCCCCTGCCCCTACCTGGTGACACGAGCATCTCCTCATCCTGGCCGCTGCCAGCTCCATCCCTGGGCTCGTGGTGAGGCTGGTGCTCTGTTGTCCCCCGGCACAATGGGGATGTGGGATGTGGGATGTGGGATGCAGCAGCTGAGCTCGGGCTGTGCCTGCAGCTGTGATGGCAGGGGATAGGCAGGGTTTAACCCCCTCTGTCACGGGGTGGGTCCCCAAGCTCAGCCAAAGCCGGGGATGTCAGTTCTGGGATGCCCCAGAACCAGAGGGCAAACGTTAGTGCATTGATGGCACTTTCCTGGCCCAGAGTAGGTGTCGTTTCTTCATGCGAGGTTCCCCCCAAGACTCCCCCCTCTTTCTTGGCCCTGACATTCCCGGTGCCCATCCAAGCATCTGCTGTGGCTTTTCTCCAACAGCTGAGGTGCCTGCTGCCCTGCCTCCCTGGGCTGGGGTGCCAGCAGGGTTGGGGTCCCTTGTTCCGGGCAGCACCTCACTGCTTGTCCCCCCCCCCTTCTCTGTTTCTCCACAGGTGCTGGCGAGTCTGGGAAGAGCACCATCGTCAAACAGATGAAGTGAGTGGTCCCCACACCATCACTGTGGCCGATGTTGTGCAGACCTCGGCTGCGGGCTCTGAAACTGGTGGCAGCCAGGGAAAGCTCCCCATCGGTGCTGCCGCAGAGCATGGGTGGGGGGCTGCACCCCAGGGTGTCCCACAAAGGGCTGACCATGCCTGTGGTCTCTCCCCTGCCCCAGGATCATCCATGAGGATGGCTACTCAGAGGAGGAGTGCCGGCAGTACAAAGCTGTGGTCTACAGCAACACCATCCAGTCCATCATGGCCATCATCAAGGCGATGGGGAACCTGCAGATTGACTTTGGAGACTCCTCCAGAGCGGTGGGTGCCCTCCTGCTCCCTCTGTGCTTTGCAGGGGTGGAGGTTCTTGGGGGGCAAAAGCAGATTTGTCCAAAGCTAAACCAGGAATAAGGGTGGTCCAGCCCAAGCCCTGCTGCTCCCTGGCTGGCTGTGACCTCCCATTCCTGGCACTGAGGGTGGGGGACCCAAAGCACGACCCATGGGTGGCCTGCCCCGGCACAGCCCCTGATGGGTGGGGGTCCCACTGCTTCCCTTGGGTCTTGTCCCCATCCACCACTGCAGCTCCTGCCCTGCTGTCTGGGTGGGACACGGTGGGCTCTGGTCAGGTCCTTAGGGCCAGAGGGAGCTTTGATAACTCCATGCTGATGCTTGAGCCCTGTTTTTTTCCCTGCAGGATGACGCTCGGCAGCTCTTTGCGCTCTCCTGCACTGCTGAGGAGCAGGGCATCATGCCGGAGGATCTGGCCAACGTGATCCGGAGGCTGTGGGCTGACAACGGGGTCCAGGCTTGTTTTAACCGCTCCCGAGAGTACCAGCTGAACGACTCTGCTGCCTAGTGAGTACCCCTGCCCCTCTCCCCCTGCCCCTCTCCCCCTGCTCGCCCGGATCCCAGCCCCGATGGCTGCATCGCTTTTATTGAGCAACAGAAAATCCCCCTGGGAGCTCCTTGGGGGCTGGTGCTGCCCGGCGCTGGGGCTGAGCTGGAGCAGAACTGGGCAGGCAGATGTTTCGAAAGCTGTTTCCTCCTCTGACGGGGTGCTGCGTCCCCCAGGAGGTAGGCACAGGGGCATTCCCTTCTGTCCCCACCGCCCTTCTCTGGGGGTGCTCTCCCCTGGTCTCCCTGTGGTGGTTCCCCCCAGTGTAAGCATAGCCAGGGGTCCTGCCCACCCATGGGTACAGGCCATGAAGGGCAGGGAAGAGCTCCAAAGAAAGCCCTGGGGACCCTTATATCTGAACAGGGTGCAGAAGAGGGTTTTCTTTTTCTTTTTAAATGAGTCTACGTGGAAGGGCTTGGTGTTACGCTGGTGTATTAGCCGGCAAACTGGTGTTAGGGAGATAAATTGCCTGCATCTGGTTGGGTTTATCCCTGAAGAGATTTATTAAATAAATTAATCTGCCTAAAGCATGTTTGCTGGGGAGGGCGGTGCGGCCGAGGCTGCGCTCAGCTTGCACGGTGCCCTCCTGCCTGCCCCCTCTGCCCAGACCCCTCATGGTAAAGCGGTGCCAGGGGGGAGCTCGTGGTGTCCCGGGAAACCCCCTCCAAAGCTGCTCCTGCTGGGGATGGAGCACCCTTGGGACTCACCACCATCCTGGGGGGGTTGCTTGATGCCCCTGTGTGCCAGCCCAGCCGTCCCTTTGGGGCTTGGCACTGGTGGGTCCCTCTTCTGCACTGAGGTCACCGGTGGGGAAGAGGTTGCAGGAAAGCTGCTGGCAAGTGGCAACCACGGAGAAGCTCCTGCTGGCCTTCTCCTCCGGCGCCCGTGGCTTTCGCTTCCTCCTGCCCAGCACCCAGTCCCTCTCCCGGCCGGCCCCATGGCTCCCCTGCCAGCCCTGGTGTTCTGGTGGTGCCACGCTGTGCCATCCCTGGGTTGCTGGTTTTGGGGCAGGCAGCCCCCCACGGCTCGTGGGCACGTATGGTTCCAGCCAACACGTCTGCAAAGCATCTCTGCAAATCGAGGATCGCCCTAAGTGCGTTGGTGGAGCATTTGCCACCTGGTGAGGGTTGGGCAGGTGTTAATTAGAAGCTGTTGCTTCCAACCCCCTGGAGATGCTGGTGGCCGATGCCCATTCACCCCCGTGGGGACGGCGCTGTGAGCGCGGCGCTGCTGTCACGGGGCACCATGGGGGATGAGGAACCCCCTGCCCAACACCCAGCCCACCCGTGCCCCAGCACCACCCCATAGCCTCCTCCTCCTCCACATCCCCCCGGGGTGCCCAGAGCTCGGGGTGCTGGGGTGGGCGCTCGCTGGCACCCCGGGGCCGGGTGTGAGGTCCGAGCGCTGCCGGTGCCGCGCATGGCCCCTGCCACGGTGTTTCCTGTTTTTTTGTCAGCCGGAGGCCGCCTGTGTTTCCGGCTGTTTTTGAGCTGCTCCGCGGTGATGGCGGCGGCGTGCTGGCCCCCCCCCCCCCCACCGGCAGCAGCCTCCCCGGGGCACCCGGGGCTCCGGTTTTGCCCCGGCACACCGGAGGGCTTCCCGGGAGCGGGAGAGCAGCCACGCTGCTATCGGAGTCCGGGATCTCCGTGGCCTCGCGAGCTGTAAATCTGGCTTTCACCAGATTACGGGGCTCCAAAGGCCTTAATTAGCGCAAGCCTAATTTGCTTAAAGGAGCCCGTTTATAATAACCCAATTAAAGCAACGTGAGCTGGAGAAATTGAAACCTGCCTTGATCCCCCCCCCTCCCGGCATCCCTCGGCGGGTCCGGCAGTGCCGTAGGGACGGAGCCACCACCGCTGCCAGGAGCCGGGGTCTGGCACGGGCGGGCAGACGATGCCACCCTGGGGGGCTCAGGGTGGGCAGCAGCCCCCCGACCACAGTGCTCCCCGTCCCTCCGGTTGCCCGCCTCCCGCTTCCTCCCAGGACGCCGGCCCTTTGTGTTTTTTGACTATAAATGGCACGGCGCCATCGATTGTTTCCGCCGGCGCTGTGGCTGGTTGCCATAGCACTGAATACTTTCCTCTTGCCGTTTCCCTCCCTGCAAACGGCTGGGGGGAACCAGGGGGGAGCCCCCCAGCCCCGGCTGAATCCCCTGCCCAGCCCCCAGTGCCAGAGTTCTGCCCCCCAAACCCTGGTTCCTCTGCATCCCCTTGCCCACCCCAACATGGGCAGGGGTGGTGGGGTGACCCCGGGGTGGGGATGGGGGGCTAGGTGATGCCCACCCCGAATGGATGATGCCGAGGTGCGGGCAAGGGTCCCTGGGAGCCCTTGGGTGGGATTTGGGTGGGTCGTGCCCCCTGGGTCCGGCTTCCCCAGCGCCTTTCTGCTCCTTCCCCAGCTACCTGAACGACCTGGAGAGGATAGCCCGTGCCGACTACATCCCCACCCAGCAGGACGTGCTGCGCACCAGGGTGAAGACCACCGGCATCGTGGAGACCCACTTCACCTTCAAAGACCTGCACTTCAAGTACGTTTGACCCTTTCCCTTTTGCCTTTTGTAAGGCAAAAAAACCCAAAAAACCACAAACCCTCCCTGCCTCCCCGTGCCGGGCCGGATCCCGGTTGCGTGGTGCACGGAGCTCCCCCCAGCCCCGGGCTTTGCTCATGGCAGGAGCTGCTGCCTCAGAGAGAGCGGAAACCACTGAAATAGCTGGAGCAGCCTCAAAAACGCCTCGCAGGGCTCGGCCCGGGGGCGGATCCAGCCTCTGGCGAGGAGGGAAGGGGGAAGGCGGCTCCGGGTGCCCGTGACGCTGCTTCCGCCGCGGGAAGGGCGCTGGGTGGGAGCCGGGGGTCTCGGGGTCAGGGACTGTCGCTGCTGCCCACTGGCATCACAGCCTTCCTTTCCACTGAGAACCACAGGAAATAGGTTTCCAAGGCAAAAAAGCTGGCACCGGGCACATCCCGGGGGATTTGGTCGCTTTGCAACGGAGCTGCTGGCAGGAGGATCTGCTGGGCTCCACTCCCCCAGCGTTGGGGGGCTCACAGGGACCCCTGTGCCACCCCGGTGGGATGGTGATCCTCAGGGGCTGTGGTTTGGAGGTGGCAGTGGGGCACAGAGAGTAGTCCAGGGGGGAGCAGGGCAGTGGGGAAGCCTCCCTGCTGACTGGCTGGTTGGCGGAGGATGTGGGGCTGCAGTTGGGCTCTTCTCTGTGGAGTGAGGGCATCCTTTGCTGCCGGCAGCAGGAGAGGCACACGGCGTCCTGGGATCATCCCCGGAGCCCTCATGCTGCCCGTGATCCCACTGAGCTCCCGGACACTTGGCTGAGCACCAGTGGCTCCCCTTGGTCCGGGGTCTCAGGTAAAACCCTGCAGTGTCTGCTCCAGAGAAGGTCCCCAAGAACATCTGCTGGAGCCTGGCTCCAGGGAACATCACGCTGGCACAGTCTGGGAAAGGTGTCCTCATCCTGCCCCAGCTCATGGTGGGGATTTGCTCCGGCTGGGAAATAAGCCCGGACACCACCTGGGATGGACAGTGGGTGCCGGGGCAGATCCGTGGCAGCAACAAAACCCCTGGGGGAGAAGGGCCACGCTCTGCCCACCCAGCTCCTGTTTCGGGCAGCCGGGGAAACTGAGGCAGGGAGAGGGGTGAGGGTGGTGGGGCCAGGAGCTGCTGCCCACCTCCACGCTGCCTCCCTGCCCAGGATGTTTGACGTGGGCGGCCAGCGCTCAGAGCGGAAGAAGTGGATCCACTGCTTCGAGGGGGTGACGGCCATCATTTTCTGCGTGGCCCTCAGTGCCTACGACCTGGTGCTGGCTGAAGACGAGGAGATGGTGAGTTGGGGGTAATGGAGCCGGCACCATGAGCCCTCCTCTCCTTGGGGATCCAGGGGAGCATCCCTTCCTCTGGTGACTACCAGTGACCTGGCCAGCATGGCCCAAGCCTTGCAAGACCCTCAGCATCCCCTGCCTGGGGGGGCAGCAGTGGGGTGGGCACTGCCTGGGGGTCCATGCCCGACTCACGCTGCCCTCTCCCCTGCCAGAACCGCATGCACGAGAGCATGAAGCTGTTCGACAGCATCTGCAACAACAAGTGGTTCACAGACACGTCCATCATCCTCTTCCTCAACAAGAAGGACCTCTTTGAGGAGAAGATCGTGCACAGCCCCCTGACCATTTGCTTCCCTGAGTACACAGGTACTGGGGGGTCCCCCGCGCTTCCCCTGGCAGTGCCTTCCCCAGGCGGTGTAGCAGGAGATGCTGGGCATGGAGATGCTGGGGATGGAGATGGTGGTTGTCCTGTGCCTGAGGAGCGATGTGTTGGAGCAGGAAGGGGTGATGTGTGGTGTTTGGGGTGCCCCAGGGACTAGGGAAAGAGGGGAAGGGGAACAAGGGGCAGCAGCCCTTGGAGGCGGGGGTTAGGTGAGGCTCTCTGTGGCTGGGGAGCATCAATTTGGCATCAGGGTGGTGGCTGCAGTAGTATGGGGAGCCAAGCCAAGCCCAAACCCCTTTGGTGCTGGTGGTGGTGGGGTCTCCTGGCAACTGTAGGGCACCCCAGTGTTGTCTCCTCCCCAGGGGCCAACAAGTATGACGAGGCGGCCAGCTACATCCAGAGCAAGTTCGAGGACCTGAACAAGCGGAAGGACACCAAGGAGATCTACACCCACTTCACCTGCGCCACTGACACCAAGAACGTGCAGTTCGTCTTTGACGCCGTCACCGACGTCATCATCAAAAACAACCTGAAGGACTGCGGGCTCTTCTGAGGGCCGGCGCTGCCCAGGTGGGTGGTGGTCCCAGTGGTGGCCCCCCAAATGGGTGCTCATGGAGCACCCGCTGGGCCTGGGACGGGCACTGCCTGCCATCCTGCTGTGGCACAGGCTGGCAGGGGGTGTCCGTGTCCCCCCCTGTCCCCAGACCCCATCTGCTCACCCTCTGCTCTTTCCTAGGACCCCCGGCCACGCCGGCGAAGGAAGGACCATGCCACCTCCCCACTCCTGCTTCTCTTCGGATTCATCCCTCTGCCCCCACCCCATAAAGAGACTTTTTGGGTGCCAGCATGGCGGCAGGGCCCGTGTCCCCCCTGCTGTCCCGGCTCGCTACCCCCCCCTTCCCATCTTCCTCCTCCTCCTCGTCGGCGTCACCCTTTCTGCCTTCCTGGGGAAAATGAGGTTTCCATCTTGGTTTTTAACCCCCGAACCGCTCCAGCCCCCCCTCCCCATCCCCTCCCGAGCCCTGGCGCTCTCACTGTTTACATGGCAAGTG